TGCATTTGCAACCCCCCCACCCCCCCGCCCGATCACTGAGTTGGGGGAGGTCCTCTAGCAGCTGATCGCCGAGCCCAGAAACATCAGTGGCAGAACCAAAAGTGCCAGTGGCAGAATTGAGACCAAGTATACCCTGGAGGGACCAACCAGCACCCCCCACCCAGGCCCCCATCAGTACACCACTGGCTGGGCATGTAGAATCCCTCCCTCTCCAGAATCGGAAATGGACTCTAAGGCTTCCAAGGACAACTTTAATTCTGTCTTCTCCTGATTTTGAGTACCTGGCTTTGAACTCTCAGTGATCTTGTAATGCAGGTGTATTTCTTGTGTGTGCCATAAAGAGTAATAAAGTTGAGTCCATGTCTGAGTGCTTTGTTGGATCAGGGCCTGAGCTAGTGTATCAGGCATTACTCAGCTCCTCTGCAGGGTGGAGGTGGCTCACAGGGTATAACCACACAGGCTGCTCTCTGCCTACATCAAGTCTAATTTATTTGCTAATCCCTCTCCCCTCCCTTCCCCCTCCTGAACCACTCCCTGCTCTGGAGATTTCCTCTGTACAAATTTCAGGGTTGCATGTCAGCCACAACTCATGGAAGAAACCAAACTGTGTTCCCAGCAAACTGCTTTCCTTTTCTCAGCTACTTAAAAAAGGTTCTTGGTTAGGAAAACACAAGGAGTTGGCTAAAAACCATACCTCCTGGAATTAGTCTCAGGAACAGATAAGGACTCTGTGTATGCCTGCCCCTCCCCTACTTTTATGCCCACAGTTGAGTAGCTAACACACTCACCTGGAAACATGGAGGTCCAGTTCTAGGTCTCCTCACCCAGAGAAGATATGAATGTGGGGAATCACAGTCTTACCAGCACAACACTCTAACCACCACATCACAGGCAGGCATTACTTGCTCTCCCTTTTGAAGCTAATCTACAGAAATGGTAAGCAGAAAAAATAGAGTACAGGAAGAAGTTTCTGCCTCACTGGGAGAAGACCCAGGCCCCTCCTGCCAGACCAGCAGGACCACACTAAGCAATATGTCCTCTAGCCCCATACGCTGCTGCCCACAGAGCTGGCTTCAGGAGTGCTGAGAAAGGACTGGATAATACCTGCGCTGTGCTGTGGTGGCTAGAAGTCAGAGGGTGCATCTATACAAGCATACTTCACTGTGAAGCATGTGCGTCTACACTTGCACAGGCTTACTATGCAGTAAACCTTATTAATCACAAGTAAAGTTGCTACTTGCAAATGCAAGTAGCAAATTTACTTTTGATTAGTAACAGCACAGTAGCGCTTGTGTAGATGACTGACTGGGAGCAAATCTGCTCCCAGTCAGCTGTCCACCAGGGGCTGGGAGATTACTCCCTGCCCCAGGAGTTGCCTGCTGCCAGGGCAGGCTCTGCCATTGGAGACTAGTTCCCCCTGCCCCAGCAGGAGAGACCTCCAAGCCCCCTGCTCCCAGATCACAATTGTGGAGCAGGGGGGAGCCTGGGAAACCTTTATCTCCCAGCCCCTGCTCTGCCATTGTGATAGATAAGCAGGGGGCTGGGAAACCCTTACCTCCCAGTGTAAGCTCTGCAGTTGCAGGGCTGGCACTGGGAGATAAGGGCCTCTCAACGCTGGCCCCACAGTCACAGAGCTAGCTGGCCCTGCAATCATGGAGCTGGTGCTGGGAGATAAGGGTCTCCCAGCACTGGCCCCGCAGTGCAGAGCTGGCACTGGGAGCTCCCTGCTGGCAAGGGCTAGGGAGCCCATTCCCCATCCAGCTCTGCAATTGCTCAGCTCAAAGCATCAACACAATACTTGCTGTCATGGTTGGAGTTGTGGCTAACATAGGAGGAACATGATTCATTTGCTCATGAGTCTAAAGGGACATCATATATCTCAAAGAAGGAGCAGCACAGGGGAAAGGGAAGAGCCTCATACTCACTTCTCAAATAAAACAATGTCTGGGAGCCAGAGCGATTCTGAGGGAACGCGGATCGCTGTGATCCCACCGTAGTCCTGGGGGTTCCAGCACAGCTTGTGGTCTACCCACTCCTGGAACGAGCCAACAACGTCCTCTTTCCTCTCACGCTTACAAACTCATGCAGATAAACAGGTCATTCGTCTGCCTCAGACAGTTTTTAGCACACAAGCACATGGCTACTTGCACTGATTCTGTTAGGCCCAGCACAGCAACAATGTTAATAACACAGCAACACCATCATGACATTAATGCTAGTAGTCACGCTGGTAGTTTGCTCACATAACGTTTTCCATTACTAAGGATTCTTTGAAGTTATTTGCGCTTCTATGAATATTTGCAACAGGCTTTTGATACCCTACAGGAGAAACCCTCTCAAGGTAGAGAGATGCCTTTCTTTTGTCCAGTGAAATTACATCCAGATCTGACCAAGCTACATTTAAAGGCCATCTTTTCCATTTCTCCCTTGCTTTCCACAGAAAAATTTGGGCAGCCTGCCAAGGTCACTGACCATTCTGAGGCTGGGCTCATGCCACCACCAACACATCAGCAGTTGCAGTAGATGCTGCACGCCTATGGGCTACCAGAGCACTACAGTGTAAAGAGAACTGGGCTTCTCCCCAGGACTCCTGCTCTACTCCACCCCAGGACAAGTAGCCCATCATCCCAACCCCCTGTAGAGCACCAGACAGAGCAGGAGGTCTTCCACACCCTGCAAGAGCAAGAGAGAGCACCAAGCTGAACTCCTTCTGCATATCTCCCTGGACCTCCCCTATGGTCCCACCATTCCCCTCGTCCCCAAGGATATCACAAGGGGCAGGAGCTCCCTCATATCCCACAGCTGATGATGAAATGCTGAGCCAGGCTTCACTTATAAGACCTCTTGGGCCCTGGCAGATGTTATTTCCATGAAGCAACAGATAATAATGCTCAATGGAAACTGTCATTCACACCATGTGACCTGTTTCACAGTCACAGGACAAACTAGCCAGAGAGGGGAAAAGTGCCCTGGGAACTTTTTGGTT